GTGTTTTTATTATTATTAAAATTTGAAAGAAAAAGGAGTTTCTCTTAATTTTTTAATGACATTATTTAGTATGTGAGAGACCTCGAAATAAACTTAACTTATAATTTAATCAACAATATTTGTCATTATCAAAAAGGGATAGATTATTAAAATATAGGAGCCTGATCTTATATTTTGATAATAAAAAATATTATTATATTTCATTTAGTTTATCCTATTTATTATTATTAAATATCTTTTCTGCATGTACTAACAATTCAGCTACAGCATACACCATGCACCATTAAAGGATCATGACTCAAGATTGGATATAATAGGTTTGATTTACACAAGTGTTTGTACTTTTTATTTTTTATTTTTGACTTAATGTAATATAAAAAGGTATATGCTAGCTTAGCAACCGTGCACAAAAACAAGAGGGGAGTGAAATTAAAATATTTTTAAATTTCTTTTTAAGATCGTACTAGATAATCAATATCATACAGTACAATATGTGCAATCAAGAATTAATTTTATATTTTAGTAAACTAATTTTGAAATTTTAAGATAAACTAATTATGCTATATGATACAAATTGGATAGGATGATCAGTTATAATTAGAAATTATCATTGACAGTTAAAATTAGGCAATAAATTGAAATTTAAAATTTGTTCTAATCATATTGTATGAATAATATTGTATTGTATATGGTATTATTAAATTTTAATCAAATTTACTCCCTATGATTAAGTAATCAAATTAGATATTATTATAATAAGTAATCGTACAGTACGAAGTTATCATTCATATTTGTATGAACTGAGCAACAACCAGGATAATAATTAATTATCGGTGTTTATCCTAGAAGAACTTTTACTCAATTGAATTAATTATAATATATGATAAGATTTCATACTGGACAATCTGTGCATAATGTTTGAACTGATCATACTAGCTACTGTTCATCAAACAGTACTAATAAGGGATTATTGAATTAATCGTATTGTATGATCTACATGTTGTATTATACATAAACAGATAGGTTAATTAAAAAATTAGGGTTATATTGGAGCCTGTTATTTAAACATCTCTTATTTAGTTTAAAATAATCTTTTGGCATTCAAGGGGTTTGAGTCTTTTGTATGCAAGGGTTTGACGAGAGAGCTTTGGGCAAGGGAGAGAGAGGTGAAGTTGTGAGAGAGAAAGAAGATCCTTTCGGGGTCAAGGGAGTGATAGTTATTATTGGACCTTTGCTGACCGGCTGTCATCTTCGAACCTCACATCACCCATTCAATACCGTTAAACTTGTTGCAACTCAACTCCAAATGGCCAAATATCTATGACATACTTTCTGTCAATTCTCCAAACTTATGTAATCTTATCAATTGTAAGTTAGGGACAGGCACATATTTATAATTTGCACTCACATAATGGAATCATTTCAGTAGATAGGGGCCATGGTTTTAATTTCTCGTTTTCCTATTTTTCCACTTAAAAATTTGTGCTAGCCATACTAATTCATTTATATGTTATGTGTTTGATCTTCATGTAAAATAAAGACGCAAAACTCTTTCACTATACAATCACAAATTTATATCCCACAATAAGTGTTAATGTCTCAAAAAAGGAGATATACAGCCCACAAATAGGTGTGATTTAACATATTTCATGTAATTAGTTTTCATTCTTAAGTATTTTTTAAAGAAAGTTATAATACTAAACAATAATTCTTACCACCCCAAAAGTCATCATTTTGGATCACTGCCAAACTCACATTATACACTGCCAAACACGCATTAAAAATTCAGACTGAGTTGGTACATAACAAAATTATTTCAATATATATATGGATCAAAAAGATGTTAAACCTTCTCTTTCCCAATCAACCTCTCTCTTTTTTCTATCTATCATATCTTAGATTTTTATTTTTTAAGTTATTCGTTTGCAGCATAACAGTTTTCCTTCAAAAAAATCTTAATTGGCACCAAGTGTAAGAAAACCATGCTAAGGCTTCATTTGGAACGACTTCCTTACTACTTCCTAAAGAGCAGGAGTTTAATCACTTCTTCATCTTAGGGTTCTAAGTTAATGTACATAGGTGTACAAAATCTGAGTCGTTGATCAAAAGATCAACGATCGAGATGTGGTTGTTTCATGGCTCATCCAAACAATGTAATTCATCTGATTGTTTGAATCTCTGTCCTATGAGATTTGAATCATCCATTACAAACCACAGATGATCCGACGGTTTCGCGGCGCCATTGATGTGGTTAAAGAAAATTTTTGTACTAAAATGTTATTTTAAGAAGCAATAAAAAAAGCTGCCCTAAATGAAGCCTAAATTGATTGGTCTGCTAAAATCTAAAAAGAATTGGGATGTGTCAGTGGTCAGCAATAGAATTAGTGATCTAGTTTCAATTTGGTTAAATTGCCAAAATGATTTCAAGATCAATAAACAATTTTAATTTTTAAGTAAAAGGCTAAAAATATATCTTAATACTATATTTTTTAAATTTAAATTTACTAAATAAGTTTTTAATAGCTGTAGTCCTGAATTTTGATTATGACTACAAAAAAGTGGTCAGATAGTTAAATAAAAAAAGGATTGAATTTAAAATTAATTAAAATATTTAATGCGTACAATATGTATCATAAAATAACTCTTTATTTTACATATTTACAGCATTATTTCATCATTTAATTAATAGTTTCATAATTCTAACATTTTAACAGATCATCATGATCACATTCCTAATTAAAGTCTATTTGAAGATTTGAATCTTAAACACTTATTGCGTTCAAATTTTGTCCGATATTTAATAAGAAATAAATTATAAAATATGTGGTTAAAACTCGTAATTTTGAATAAATAAATTAACTTCCCTAACCTAGGATGGGGTGGATGGTACATCACATGAGAGATAGTGTAACACATGAAAAAGATGACGTGTATTTTATCATGTTTATCTTATAATAGAAATAAGATTAAACATAATTAACTATCTTTTTTTTTTTTTTTTTTTTGAGACATTTGAATCATTAAGATAAATTCACATATACATAACATACATAAATTTCAATTTCAAGACCTCTGGTAATAATCAAAGCTCCCAATCAAGTAAACTGTGTAATTAACTATGATGAAAATGTGAAAGCATTTGTCATTCTAAAACTATTCAAAAGTTGTACTAGCTTCAGAGCAATCTCTAGAAGAGATTGTTACGTGCGAAATCCGAATTGTTAGGATTTTGTGAGTGTACACAGTAAAAACGTAATTACTATGCTTATTAGATTTTTACAACACTTTTATTACACACTCATAAAATTCAGACAGAGCTCCAAAGCAGACTCCGCATGTAATAATCTCTTATTTCTTAGGACCGTGCTTTACATGCTTCGGCCATTTTAACTTTTATACATAGCATCAGCATCAGCACCAGCAGCTATAAGAGGAGCAAAACATTAGGATACAGTAGCTTTAGAAAAACAAGGAACAGATATGGCCACTGAAGAACAAAACGAGAAGCTCGTCCTCCAAGTCACCGCTTCCACAACTCCAATATTGAGCACATCGTCCATCACAAAACCCTCCACTATCCTCATCATCTCAAGCTTCCACGCCGGCTACTTTCGCATCAGCCTCTCCCTCTGCAGCCAATCCCTCCTCTAGAAAACACTAAGTTCCCCTTCGACCGACCCCCACGCCCTCCGCCCTCTCCTAACCGCACTCCATTCCTTCACCTTCTTTCTCTTGTGGTCCCTCTCTCTTCTCCCCTCCTCCTCCTCTCCATCCTCTTCCTCATTCGCTGCCTCCTCCATCCCCATTCCCTCCGCACTGAACTCTCCCATCCCATCGGCATGAACTACCTCTTCCCCCCTTCGCTTCCTCCCTCCTCCTCCTCCTATCCACCCCTTTCCTCCCGCCAAACTCCACCACTTACCGAATCCTCTGCTCCCTCCATTCTCTTCCCATCCTCTTCCTCGACGTCAAGATCTACGACCGCTGGCTTACTCATGGAAAGAACTTATCACTAGCGGCCAATCCTACAAGCCACGTCAGTGTTATTGGGAACTTCGTTGGTGCTCGAGCGGCCGCGCAGATGGGTTGGAAGGAGGCGGCCACATGTTTGTTCATGCTTGGGATTGCGCACTACCTTGTCCTATTTGTAACGCTATACCAGTGGGTTGGGGGCGGTAACGCTCTGCCGGCGATGCTGCGACCGGCGTTCTTTCTCTTCTTCGCTGCGCCGAGCATGGCTAGTCTTGCCTGGGATTCCATTTCTGGGGACTTCGATGTCTCGTACAAGATGCTGTTTTTCCTCTCTCTCTTTCTATTTGCATCCTTGGTGAGTAATTTATTTTGTTGCTTTTACGTTTGCTTCCTTAGTTTCATTACTGTCTGGCTTTTCTGTGGCAAACAAAATTTAAGCAGCATTTAAAACTACTTTAATATTTTTAGAATCAACAATTATTAACATAGATAAAAAATAATGTTATAGATTTGTAATTATAGCATGATTTTTATCTGATGAGAATTTTTTTTTTCTTTTATAGTTAAGATTTCAATTTCAAATAACTCTGTTAATCAAATATTTACTTTACATTTTTTATATGATAAATATTGACATTTAATAAAATAGCAGTACAAAGGAAAGAACGTAACCTATGACGACGAAGTTATACTTAATAAAAATAAAATTATTTCAATATAATAATAATATAAAATTAATTGATTAATGTTATATAATATATTATACTTATTTTCTTAGCTATTACATGAAAAAAAACTTTAAAATATTTAAATAATACTATATAAAAATAATATTTAAAAATTATATAATAAATAAATAAACAGTCTCTCCCTTCCGGTCATCTCTCTCGGGTACTCTCTCACCTCGTCATCTTTCTCTCTCCTCATCATCTCTCTATCAAAATAAAATGAATGTGCCAAATAATTTTGCCCACTCAGAACTCATCAAATTATTTAACGCACTCTGAATGTGTAGATGATTCAGCGCATTTGCTCGTTTTCTTATTTTTGGGATTCAATGCTCCGTCTGCGAATTCCAATTATCTGCCTTATCCTTCATAAAATTTTGTGAAAGGAATTTTTTGTAGACATATGTTGAGGTTTAAACTTGCAGAAAAATCCTTAGATCATGTCTCTTTGCCTTGAATTATTTCTTTCTCTCTCTCTCTCACGGAAAATTATTGGGTTCGGATACCGAACGACGTTCGGAGCCGAATGAAAAGGTGTCACATCATCTTTTATACATATCATCAGCACAAGCAGCTATAAAAGGAGCAAAACATCAGGATACAACAGCTTCAGAAAAACAAGTAACAGATATGACCACTGAAGAACAAAAAGAGAAGCCCATCCTCGAAATCACTGCTTCCACACCTCCAATATTGAGCGTATTGTCCATCACAAAACCCTCCACTATCCTCATCATGTCAAGCTTCCACGCCGGCTACTTTCGCATCAGCCTCTCCCTCTGCAGCCAATCCCTCCTATGGAAAACACTGAGTTCACCTTCGACCGACCCCCACGCCCTCCGCCCTCTCCTAACCGCACTCCATTCCTTCACCTTCTTCCTCCTCTGGTCCCTCTCACTTCTCTCCCTCCTCCTCCTCTCCATCCTCTTCCTCATTCGCTGCCTCCTCCGTCCCCATTCCCTCCGAGTTGAACTCTCCCATCCCATCGGCATGAACTACCTCTTCGCCCCCTTTGCTTCCTCCCTCCTCCTCCTCCAATCCACCCCTTTCCTCTCCCCAAACTCCACCACTTACCGAATCTTCTGCTCCCTCCTTTCTCTTCCCATCCTCTTCCTCGACGTCAAGATCTACGGCCGCTGGCTTACTCATGGAAAGAACTTCTTATCACTAGCGGCCAATCCTACAAGCCACGTCAGTGTTATTGGGAACTTCGTTGGTGCACGAGCGGCCGCGCAGATGGGTTGGAAGGAGGCGGCCACGTGTTTGTTCGCGCTTGGGATTGCGCACTACCTTGTCCTATTCGTCACACTATACCAGCGGGTTGGGGGCGGTAATGCTCTGCCTGCGATGCTGCGACCGGCATTCTTTCTCTTCTTCGCTGCGCCGAGCATGGCTAGTCTTGCCTGGGATTCCATTTCTGGGGACTTCAATCTCTCGTGCAAGATGCTGTTTTTCCTCTCTCTCTTCCTATTTGCTTCTTTGGTGAGTAATTTATTTTGTTGCTTTTACTTTGCTTCCTTAGTGGCTTTTCTGTCGCAAACAAAATTTAATTAGGATTTAAAACTGCTTTAATATTTTTAGAATCAACAATTATTAACATAGATAAAAAATAATGTTAGAAATTTGTAATTATTGCATGATTTTTTTTGAATTTATGTATGTAATATTTAAATTTCTATATTTTATTTAAATATATATTTTAATATCTAAATTATATTAAATTTGGTGCATAAAAATATTATTTTAAATAATTTAATATTAATGATATTTTTGTATTACTTAGAAGTTTGATTATTTTGTAATTAAGTATAAAATTTAAATTTTAGTAGACATATAAATACATTAAAATTATATAATACGTATAAATTTTCTTTTAATATTTTACGTTATACAATACTTTGTTTATGAAATAAAATTTGAATCAATATATTATGAACCAGAAATCAATGATATATGATTTTGATCAATGAAGTTGGATGAGAATGTTTTTTTTTTTCTTTTACAGTTAAGATTTCAATTTCAAATTACTCTGTTAATTAAATATTTATTTTACATTTCTATATGATAAATATTGACGTTTAACAAAATAGCAGTACAAAGGAAAAAACGTAACCTATGACGGTATGAGCCGCCTTGTAATGAAGTTATATATATATAAGATAAATATTTGCACTGACTTCTAATTTATTTTTTTATCTGAGACAAAAAAATCTGTTAGAATATTCTAAAAAACGCTTAATTTTACGATATACGTTCTTCCATAAAAATATCACGTGATATCACTTTATACAACTAAATAGATTATCGGACATGCTATCTAATAGTTTTATATATTTTTATTTTAGAATTAATTGTTTTACTAATACTTGTTTTTATTAAACTTACTGATATTTATAATTTAAAATTAGACTTGTTTTTATATAAATGTACTGAATATTTTAATCATTTATTTTAAAATTTTCAAAAAAAGTTTTAGTTTAGCTGTTTAGAGGAAAAGCATTTTAATTGCAAGTTTTCTCGACCGCACATATTTAAAATATTATGATTGTACTTTCTACATGAGGATTTTTTAGGGTGTCAATTTTGGGTCACGGGTCGGGTTTGGGTTTAACCTGGAACTGACCCGGGTTCAAACGGGTCGACTCTAACCCGACCCGGATAGACAAACGGGTCGGAAATCCGAACACTAACCCGACCCGGCGGGATGCCGGGTTGACCCGACCCGACCAGAAATTTGGGTTTTGCCGGCGGGCAGACCGTAGGCGGACGGTGTGCGGACGGTGGGCGGAAGCGAGGGCTTGCCCGGGCAGGCCGGGAATATCTGTAAAAGAAAGAGATACAGAGCTCACCAGCATCCATCCCTAAGAATTCTGAACCAATTGATCGAGAGAACTAAACTTATCTCTGCACTGGGGACAAAATTCAAAATTTGAGATAGAGAAAGATGAAGAGAAAGGCCCTACAAAGAATCTGAGCTCATCTCCGCTCCTTATCACTTCACTGATCCCAAACCACAAGAAGAAGATTTTCACACTAACCCCATCCAGTTTCTTCAAACTCCTTGGCTCCACCTTGCCGGAGATCTTTCTCCTGTACCTCAACAGGTAACTCCCACTCGCCTTGAGCTCGCAGTAATCACCGAGAAAAACGTCAAAGCTCCCATCACTCCTCAACAAGTAGCTCTGAACTCCCTCAGGCAGAATCCCTTTGGGAAAATCAAACTTTTCTAGCATTTCGTAAGCGGTGAGGGAGTTGTAGGATTGGTAGTTATCAGCAAAAGCGAAGAGAAGGGGGGAGATAAAGAGAAAACATAGGAGAGTTTGGTCGGTTCTTGAGAACTCCATGGAAAATTTGGATTTTGGAGGTTGTGAGAAGAAGGATGAAGGAGATATTAGAGGAGATTAATCCATTGATTTTCTGGTTGATGTAAATTGAAGAAATGGACAAGGCAGGTGATGAGATGGACATTTACAATTGGATGCTACACCTTCATAATGGCTGGAAAAAGGTGTGTGGGTACAAACTCGCGTCTTTTGTTATAATTGTAGCTAAGGGAAGCTATTGGATGCTTGGATCCACGTGCTGGAAAACAGCTGGTCGGAGGTTCCGAGAAAGTGGGGAAAAAATTTGAGCTGGACTCACTAGCATTTTGGTTGGAATACATATTTTCAATTAGAAACTAAGGCAATTATACATATATATATATATATATATATATATATAAAATTAATTAATTAAAAAAAGATTGTAGCTGATACCTAACCTTACTAGCAAAAGAGCTTTGTGAGTTTAACGTGAAACTTGTTGGAATGGGGAGAGAGAGTACGATAATTCAAGCATTTAATATGAGTAGCACTAAATATAGAGAATGCAAAAAGATCCAAAATAGTCCAATTCATCTTTTATTGATAGAGACTTGTTTTGATTGAAAAAATATATATATAGTTTTGAAAAATGATTAATTTTCTTTGTGAATATTAAATTTTTTGAATTTTGAAATTGAACACGTCATTATAAACAGTATATCGCCTCAAAAGACGAACATATCGTTCTCTAATGGGTTCAAATTTCAGAATTTTAAATTTATTCGGATTAATATCATAGTCAAACTTAGGAAAGAATCACATTTGACCTTGGAGGGTCAAAATGGTATTTAATCGAGTGTTTGACTATGCTAATCTGTATAAATATCATTAATTTCATAATCAAAATCACGACAATAATTTATATATCTCTCCGAAAAAAGACGATATCAATCACTATCGATCGTTTAAAAATGACGATAATGATCATCGGGTTTTATTTTCCCAAAGAGAATTAATTGAGGTTTTGAAGAATTGATTTTGAAAATCTAGTATGGGCTTCTAAATCTCCTACGAGCGCAAGCCCTCATAGTTAATTACATCGTAGGGAAATTGGAATTTTCCTATGAATACTCTCGATTAAAATAGCGGTATGAATTTTATTTAGATTTTCAAAGCTTGATGTCAAATGAAGTAAATGATGGAAATTTCAAGTATGATTGGTTCAAGGTTGAGCATTTTATTTTTAGAATCAAAGGAGGAGGAGTAGGGAGTGTTTTAAGATTCTGAAACGATTTAGAAAACACTTCAGCCTATCATATGTGTTGGGTTTAAATTTGATTGAAAGAGATTTTTTTTATTTTAGTAATCAATTTTATTAGAAAGTTGGAATTCAATTCTCGGAGTTTGAGGTTTTATAGCCCTAGCCTGCCTCAGAACTTAAGTCTAAATTGGGTACTAAAAAGTGACCCGAACCTAGCTAATGCAGTGCAAATCTGGACTTACCCCGGTGAGGATTGGGGAGCGGGCTAACCACATAATCGATTTAAAATAAATGAATCCGGTCTTTTATGAAAGAGTGGTAAGGACATTTTATTTAATGTTTTGAAGAGTTGGGGCTGACATCTAGAGATTTTCTTAATTGGCCCCTTTGACTTTATGTTGAGTGCAAAATGCTAAAAACTAACGCAATTAAAATTTTGACTCTTTTAAATCTATTTCTAATGCAATACATGCTAGTTAACAACGTCATATCAAGTATGCTTGAAAGTTAAAAACAGTCTTAGAAAATATTTTTTTAGAAAACTGGACTTCCCCAGGTCCGACACCTCGTCCTCATAGGTCAGACCTTCCGGACTATACCCGCAGGCAGGGAAGGGTCTAAAACAAGGAGAGAAGAAGTGCAGAAATATGCATGCGAACGCGGGGTCGATCCCCGGCTAATTCCCTAAATTTGTTATCTTTCTATGTTGTTTAGATCCACTAAAATCTTAAGCTTTAAAGTTATGAGTATAAAAATTTTAATACCCTTACGAGTGTCACGAGTCCAGGTAAAAATAAAAGCAGCATACAAACGCCAAAAAAATTATGAAAAGTAGGTAATTCTATACGCAATCACATCAAACATCAATTATAAATGAATTAATTAATAAATGTCTATAGGCAAAGTTGCCTTGCATATTACAAACCAGGGTCTGCTGAAAGTAAAGTGGCCGGGAACAACTGACAAAAACCCGGATTTCTAATCCTAAGACTCAAGTGACTTTGAGATTTGAGATTCTTCCCGTTATCCACTTCTTTATCTTCTCACGAGCATCTTAATTCGTCAGTTTCGGATATCCAAATGAAAAAGAAACTCCCCCTTGAACGGGGTGTTATCTTTCCTCTTTGGATATTTGAAGAACATCCAAACTTGATCTTCCAAATTAACAAAAAATCTCCTCTTTAGGGATGTCTTCTCCTCTTTGGTATTCAAGTTGGATCTAAACATCTAAACTCAAATCACTTTAAGTATAACTCAAATTATATCAAATTAAATTAATCAAAATTAAAAAATCTAGACTTGATCTTGTAGGGTTATCCTATTAATCAGTAGTTATATATAATCCCAAGCAGTTATAATTGAACTCAAGTAGTTTATATATTTAAAATTTAAATGCTCAACAGAGTGTAATAAATAAATAAACAAACAGTCAATCAATTCTAAGCTAAAAACCAGCATGCAGTGAAAGCTCGAAAACCAGGCACACAGCAGAAAAGTAAACACCGGCCTATCCTAAAACTAGAGTTGGTTGTCTTAACAAATCATCTAAAGTGTGTGACGTAGGCCGTGTGATTTGGATATGTCCTATGGAGGGCAATTTGTTAAAGTTGTTTGAAGTTCTAGTTGGTTGAAAGGCTTAAGGGAAGATTTAAATTTGATTTTAAGTATTGATGATTTGAAATTGATTTTAAGGTTGATTAATGATTTCTAGAGTTTTAAGACAATTTTCTAAATTTATGAATTTTCCGGATTATTTTAGTCATTTAATTAAGGGGTCAAAAATTAACTTTTTGATTAAGAATGTTTTCTAGAAAATTAATATTTTATTAAAATATTAGACCTTAATGATATCAGTTGGACAGTAAGTACGCTAAAATTAGATTTCTGAATTTTATTATGAAGGTTTGAAGTTTTGAACTAATTTTAACTTAGGTTGACCAAAACATAGACTTTTCAAATTTAATGGTTTTCTAGAATTTTTATATTTTTAATAAATATTAGACATCATTATGAGTTGAATAAAAGTGAGTTTGGTCAATTTGGATTTTTCTGCATTTAGTTATGAAATTTTGAAGTTTGATGTATTATTGAATTTTGAAATTGTTTAATTGGAAGGGTTCTCTTTATTTTGCTCCAAATGAATTCCCAACTCCTTGAAATCAACTCCAAAGGTCAAGATTGACCTAAGGAGTGATTCCCAAGTATTTGGGATTTTTTTTGGAATTTTTATCTATTTTTAAGTAATTAAATTTATTAAATATTCAATTTCACTTGAAATTAAATTAAATCTAGATTTGCTGTCAAGTCAACTTGGTTTTATTTTCATTGATTAAGAGTTTGATTCTGGTTAGTTTAAGGGGTTTTTTATATTTTTTGGATTTAAACTTGATTTATTGTAATTTTTTGAAGTTTTAAAGTCCTTAATGAGGCTGATTTTTTATTTGCTTAATTTTCAAACTTAATGACCTCCAAATTAGGTGAAATTTGAAACTAAGGTTTAAAATGTCACAATGTTTACTGTGTTCAAGTTTCACCCCTATTGGGTGTGTGTATAATGCCCTAGGAATTTTCTAAATTTTTTAGATATTTTCTTAAATATTTTTCCTAGGTCTCTCTACTATTCAAATTGGCCTGAAATTTGGTGTGTCTAACCCTGGTGCACACATTCACACCACAGAAATTTCACAGCAAAACACTAAGAATTTAGAGAGTTATGAATTTTCAAAATTTAGGGTACAAAATGGACCCTTTACCATTGGGTATCTGACCCAAGAAAAATTAGTGAACATGTCTAGGATACCCAATAATCTTCCACCAAAATTTGGGGCTCAATTGACCACTGGATTATGAGAAATTCATAAAATATTAATTTTAAACAATCAACCATATCTCACAACACAGTGACCAAATTAACTTAATTTTAATTTTAATAAATACTACATAAAATTTCCTTGCCAACGAACCTAAGAAAGTCAAATTTGGTGAAAAATTAAATTTTCTATGAATTTTGGAAGATATGGGCATTTTTCTGAATTTATTTACCATTTCTGGTCAAACTGACCGCCGGCGCCAACCGGATTGGTGGTGCCTAATGGGAACGCACCACGTGGCGGGCTGGGGCCTGCCACTTAACCACGTTAGACGACATCCAGCCGTCCGATTGACCGCAGGAGGAACCGACGGTCCAGATTGAGCCACATCAGCACCCGCGGTACGAAATGACGAGCGTTAGAACCCTGGGGAAGGCACGCGAGGTCGGAGAGGGGTGACGTGGCAGTTTCTGGGCCGTCCGATCGTGCTGAAGGTGCGATCGGACGGCTTTGGTTGAGCCAGAATTAAGAATTTTAAAATGCCAATAACTTTCAAAATACTCAACAAAATTGCACGAAATTTGAACTGTTGCAATAGGGCAACATGATCTAACAATGCCTAGAGTTTCGAGGATCCATACATTGTAGATTTGCCACAGTTTCAAATTGAAATTTAAACTTCGAATGGGCATAACTTACAATCCAACTGTCGTATTGTCGACTTCTTAGGCTTGTTGGAAATCTGCTAAGATCCTCTTCAACTTTGTGGAAGACCTCAGGAGGTGGATCTGGCTGGATTGGAGTTTATTCTTGAATAACTAGATTCTCTCTCTAGATTCCTCTCTCTTCACCAAACAAGGCCTTGGAGGCTAGATTTTGGTGGGGAAGGCTTGGAAGGGCTAGGGAAAGGCTTGGAGAAGGTTTTTGAGGGTTTTGGAGGTTGGAATAGCTTTTTGTATGAGAGGGATTGAGTGAGTGAGGGCTTAAGATTAACCTTCGCTTAATTAAGATATTTTTTCCCTAAT